AATGCTAGGATTATAGGCATGACCCACCACATCCGGCCTCTCTTCCTTGTTTATTATTTTTATCATAGTATAAGGGTGTTAAATTTTGCCAAATATTTTTCTGTATCTATTTAAATGATTATGTGATTTTTGTTTTTATTCTATTTATATGTGGTATCATGTTATTTGATTTTCAGATATTGAACCAATTTTGTATCTTTAGGATAAATCCTACTTGGTCATGGTTTATAATTCTGTTTATGTGTCCCTGTATTCAATTTGCTAGTGTTTTCTTGAGGATGTTTGTGTTCATATTAATAAGAGACATTGGTCTGTGGTTTTCTTTTCTTGTGACGTTTTTGTCTGGTTTTGGTATCAGGGTAATACTGGCATTATACAATGAATTGTGAAGTGTCCCTTCTTTTCTGTTTGGAAGAGTTTGTGAAGAATTGGTATTGATTTTTTTTAAATGTTTGGTAGAATTCAGCAGCAAGTCTATCTATGTCTGACTTTTTATTTATGAATAGTTTCTTGATTACTAATTCAATCCCTTCACTTTTAGATTTATTCAGAATGTATATTTCTTCTTGAGTCTGTGTCTTGATAGTTTGTATCTCTCTAGGAATTTGTCCATTTCATGTAGTTTATCTAATTTGTTGATTTATAATTATTTATAATATTACTTTATGATACTTTCTATTAATATTTCTGTAATGTCAGTAGTAATGCCCTTTCTTTTATTTCTGATTCTAGTAATTTGAATCTTTGCTCTTTTTTTCTTGGTTGATCTACCTAAAAAATTTGTCAATTTTGTTGATCTTTTCAAAGAACTAGCTTTTGGTTTCATTGATTTTCTCTTTATTTTGGCACTTCTTTTTACAGTGTTGTAAAATGGAAAGTTTTTCTTCTCTCTTTATCCTTTTTCTTTCTTTTTTTTTTTTTTTTTTTTTTAGAGAGATAGGGTCTTGCTCTATATCAGTCAGGCTGGAGTGCAATGGCACAATCATAGCTCACTACAACCTTAAACTCCTATGTTCAAGCCATCTTCCTGCCTCAACCTCCACTAGTAGTTAGGACTAAAGGAAGGTGCCACCATGCCTGGCTAATTTTTAAATTTTCTGTAGAGATGGGTTCTTGCTATGTTGCCCAAGCTGATCTCAACCTTTGGCCTCAAGTGATCCTCCTGCCTTGGCCTCCCACAGTGCTGGGATTTCAAGTGTAAGCCACCACATTCAGCCTCTTCTTTCTTAATAAAGACTTTTACAACTATAAATTTCCCTCTAAGCTCTGCTTTTGCTTCATCCCATAAGTTTTGATATGTTGTATCTTCATTTTCATTCATCTCAAAATGTTTTTTGATTTCCCTTGTGCTTTATTCTTTGACCCATTAGTTTTTAGTAGTATGTTGTTTAATTTTCACATTTCATAAATGAATTTTTACCTACCTGAATTTTTACCTACCTGAATTTTTTCCTACCAGTTTCTAATTTCATTTCATTGTGGTTAGAGAACATAGTTTGTATTGTTTCTATCCTTTTAAATTTATTGAGGTCTGCTTTGTGGCCTAGCTTGTAGTTTATCCTGGGGAATGTCCTATTCACTCTTGGGAAGAATGTGCAGTACTCTCTGTTGGTATTGGGTGGAGTGTTCGATAGATGTCTGTTATATATATTGGTTTATAGTGCTGTTTAAGTTTCAAGTCCTTTATTTCCTTGATGATATTCTGCATAGTTGTTTTATCCATTATTGAAAGCGGAATACTAATTCTCCCACTATTATTGTTGAATTGTCTATTCTTCTCTTCAATTATGGCAGTTTTTGCTTCCTGTAGTTTAGGTATCTGTTTTGGGTGCATATATGTATATAACTGTTATATCTTCCAGCTTGTATGTATCATACCAAAATATTTTATACTTTATACTTTATACAATCTCCATGCTTATCTCTAGCAAAAAATTTTTGAAAAGTCTATTTTGACTTATATCAGTATAGCCACTCTAGCTTTCTTATATTGCTGTTTACATGATACATCTCTTTCTTTTCTTTTTTATTGATCTATTTGTAGCTTTGAGTCTAAAGTTTGTTTCCTGTAGACAGGATCTAGTTTGGTTTTGCTTCCTCCCCCAAGTCTGACAATCTCTTATTTTTTATTAGATTTTTCTACCCTTTTACATTAATATTATTATTGATATAGTTGAATTTGTATCTGACATTTTTATTTTTGTTTTCTGTCTCATGTACTGCTTCCTTTTATAGTAAATATTTTCTAGTGTAGCACTTTAATATCTTTTAATTTATTTAATTTCACTATATTTTAGAGGGTTCTTTTTAGTGGTTTATCATATACATCTTAACTTATAAAATGACACTAGGTTGAGTGGTGGGTAGGGCTCTATTTCTTTTTCCCTAACAATACCTAGCTGTTAAACTCTAGTAACTGCTGGCTTGTTACTCTATAGTTTTCAGCATAACAATTTAGCCTGTAGGTTGAATCTCCTCTCAATTGCCTCACCATGGTGTCTACTATTCTTGAGAGCACCCTTAAGCTTAAACTTTTTCATGCTCTGCTGCAAATTAAGTCTGTTCCTTTGGGAAGAGATTAAGAGCTATCTGTATTATAGCATGCTTCTTCTCCCAGGCAAAATCTCTAAACCAGGACTCTGGAGCTGGGAGTGGGGACAATGCAACCTCTGATACTCCTGCTCTAGGAGCTGAATGCTTGGTGGAGTGAGGCTGGGGGAGGAAGCAGAGAAAGCAGCCTGAGATTCTCTAGTCTTAACTCTCCTAGCATGGAACTACTGCCTCTCCAGGCAGGGCAGGGGTTACTAAGGCAGGGGTTACCCAGTAGTTTCAGCATGCTGTGCCTGAGGCAGAGCCTGGGTCCCATGGGTCAGGGCTGGGCAGAAGAGGGGAGCCCAAGCCTCTTAACTACACTTGCCTAGAACCTGCCCTCAGCAACAGGCAGCAGTGTGAAAGATGAGAAAGGCTGAAATCCTGTTCTTCAGGGAAGAAGATCTCCTACTGGGAGCTGAAGGGAAAGAGAACCCTGTGTTCTTGGCTATAGCATGGTGGAATGGACTTTCTGCCTTGCTGAGCAGGGATCAGGGAAGAGAAACAATAGTCTTGGCTCAAATACCACAGACTCTCACATTTCTTACCAAAGTTTCATAGATTTCTCTTTAGTAGATGTTTCTTTATTTGGTCTTTATTCTTAGGACCATTTACATAGGCTTCAAATGGTTGTCTTTTAATGGTAAGTATTTCACAAATGTTAGTAAACCTTCCCTGCACCTTTATTTCCTCACATAACGCTAGGAGTATCTCTAAGGTATCCTCTAGCCAACAATTTTTATTTTAGTGGTTTATAATCATTCACTGCCCTAGAAAGAAGTCTTTGATCACACTCTATGTTTTTTTTATGCTCTTAGCTTAGGGATCAGCTTCTCTCTGCATAGCAGGTGGAATCATAGAATATGATCCGTAGTACAGGAAAACCATAGTGATCCAGAACCTTTATAATCTTCTAAGTCTTTATATTTTACCCAGCTCCTTAGTGTATGTCTAAATAAATAATGGCTTAGTTTTGCTCCTGGGTCCTGTCAAGAGCCATACTGGTTGGTTATTTATTTATAACAGCAAATTCTCAAGAATCTTTTCCTAAGCACCTTCTGCCTATTCCATCAACTGTCAGAGTCTTTTATGACAGTGCAATTAGCACAAGTCCTTGCTCATCATTCAGGAGTTCTGTTGCCATTATAGCCACATCTCAAAGTTACACTGTGATGTGTTCAAGTTGCCAATATAATTTTCCTGCACTGTGGTTTATTGGTTTTGAGTTCTGCTCACAGGCTCATCACATCTCTGCTGTCTGCATCATTGTGTGCTCAGCCCTCACTCTGAACAACAGTGACGCCCACGTAAAATTCTGTGGTTCCTACAAAGCGCTTTGAAGTCTACAGAGCCCAAACTGGGCGGTTGTAACCTTTCTTACTTCTAGATCTAACAATTTGCCAGATATTTGCCTCAGAATATCATGAAGACTACTTGAGATTGTGGACCGTGAATCTTGTTTCCCAAAAGATTATAATCACAGGAAACATTATGACCAAAAATGGGGGAAAATATAGAAAATATGTATACCTGATAGAGATACAGTCCTATAAACAAATGAGATTCAGAGAATGAAAAAGGAGAAAAGAAAAGTCATAAGGAAACAGAGATACGAAATACTACAGCAGCTGAAAAGCTAGAATTAAAAGCAAAAAAACCTCTGAAATTTTATGATAATTTTGAAAATACTGCAAGGCAATACCCCCTGCCACATCAAAATGAAATCCCTTGTAATATATGCTGCCTGATTGCTGATCTCTGTTTATGACATTTATCTTTGTGAATTCACTGAGTTCATAAGGGAGAAAGGCTAAAATAGTATTGGCATTATCTTGCTTCTCTTCAGGAAGAGAAATGTCAATGTCATAATAAATATGAGGTATTTTTATAGATACACACTCTTTTTATATTACATTATGAAATTATAAATTTTAAAAATCAGCCTATTTTTAAAAATGTCCTGATTAATAAAAGGACAAGGAAAAGCATCTTCATTTTTGTTGAAAGATAATAGAGTTTTGGTATTCAAAAATATTCCTATTTGGCTTTGGAAAATAAATTTTGGACTGCAATATGAATTTGGGTATGTTTGTTATTCAGGGAATTCATATCGAGTGAAATACTGAGGCCACGTTGTGCAGATCCACTCAGGAGGAATTAATAAAGTCTCCCTATCTTCCCTCTGCTTCTGCGATTAGCTCTAGTCTGCAATTCATTCCATATTTGCAAAAGTTGCCATCACCCTTCAGTCTTAGGCAAAGCGCATTTGCCTTTCTAAACTTGTTCGTCTGTCAAGCTCTCAGCTTCTCTGGGGTAGAAGAGATAAACAGGTGGGTTTTTTGTTTTGTTTTGAAAAGACATTTCTGGTTGGAACTAAGAACCTGGAATATCTTTCTTTCTACATTCTGCAGGCTGCATAGGTAATCAGGGAAGGTGACAAGTCGATAAAGGAGTTCAAAGAACAGAGAACCACTGGGAGAGAGGATCACTGTTCCTAAAACTGGTTTGTAACATTTGTTAGACTGCTATTATTATGTACACTCAAATCCACGTTTCCGATTCTATGTCCATTTCTGCACATCACATAGTTTATGCCTTATCTAGTGGTGAATACTCCTCATGACAATGAGAGAACGAACAGATGGATATAGACATGAGTGACCGCATAGAATGGCAGATTCCTTCACCGTGGGGGCCAATTTTCTAAAGGCAATCTCGCTGGAGAGCTGAATCCTTCACTGCTTGTTAATAACCAAAACCAAATATATTTCTCATTTGTTTGAGACGCACTCAAAATTAGTACATAAATCCAAACATTGTATCAAAGATACATTGTGCTATTCTGTAGAAAGCTAAGTATTGTTATGATTTCAAAACAATAAGAATACCATTATGGAGTTTGCCCTTCCTACTGATGTACCCATCAGTACCTACTGATGTACCCATCTTACCATATTTTTCCAGGCTATTTCTCCCAAACACGTGCTTTTCATCTGCATCAGAAGTTCTCTCATTAAGACGATCATGTCCAGTGTTCACTCCAGCTGTTATTAAACAACAGACCCCTGGACTAACTGCACGAGTGAGGTTTCACTCAGGCAGAAAGATGATTTCCTTTTTCTTCTCCTTTTGCTTTTGTGACTTAGGAGGGAAACAGTGATATACAGCTTGTATGTTTCCAGTGATTTGAAATTGAAGCACATAACACAGACAGAAGCTGAGTATGACAACAGTGATAAGGGTCTATGAAGCACAAAAGGATCAAAGGAAAACGTCAGTGGGAAATAGATTGGGAATAAAGAAGAAAGGGAGGAAGTGGGCAGAAAAAGAGGCTGATCAGGAGAGCGAGAACCTACCTACAGTGGAGGAGAGCGGAGCAGGGTGGTGTGACAGGAGGTGCCCTGAGGACACGGAGCCATCCAACAGAGGCTGAAGGTAACAGGCCGCTATTTTATTTTAGTAGTCCATTGAGCAAACGTTCATTGAATTAGACTTGCAAAATGAACAGCATATATCATATTGGAATAAGGGCGAAAATGAATGTATGAAAACTAAGACTGGATCAACAAGATGAAGGAGGAAATGCTTAAGATTGTAAAGATCTAGATAGCTCAGAGGGACGGAGCATGAATCAGTGTTTCCTGACTTTGTCACTTTCAGAACTTGGCCACATGAAGTCAAGATGGTAAACGTTTTATCTCGTAACAAATGTGGGGAAGTGATTTACCAACTTCAGTTCCTGAGAACAGATGGTCATATATCATACCCAGCAGGCATTTCCAGAAGATAAAGCAAGAGGTGCCTACATAGCTCAGTTTGAGGACAAAATGGATACCTTATTTCAGAATACCAACTGACCTGAAGTCATTCTGTTCTTACAGCTTTACTACTCTGGTTCATGATGTATTTCTCTTTACTGTTAGCAGGAATTCATTGGCAGTCTACGAGAATAAAGTACTGCATAGCAAGGGGGAGGGCGGAAAGGGGAATAGGAAGAATCCACTTAGGAAAGTATAGAGAGTTTCCTAGGACTTAGGAAGTGTTCCAAGTGTTAAACATTTTCCTTCTGTCCTTAGCTCTAATGGCATCTTTCTCTTAATGAATATTTTATAGAAAAACATGGGAAGTTTCTCAATCAGGGCTATCCCTCCCCAAACTCTCTCTGTCTCTGTCTCTGTCTCTGTCTCTCTCTCTCTCTCTCTCTCTCTCTCTCTCTCTCTCTCTCTCACACACACACACACACACACACACACACACACACACACACACACACACACGAAATATCTGGCAAAGCCTGGAAACATTATTGGTTGTCACACTGGGAAGGTATTGCTACTGGCATCCAGCGTGTAAGTCCAGGGATGCTGCTAAGCATCTGACAATGCAGGGGACCGCCCCTACAAGAAAGAATTATCCAGCCTAAAATGTCAACAGTGCCTGGGTTGAGAAACACGGTCGTATGAATGACAGACAAATGGTTCCAGTTTGATCATCCATTCACTCATTGGCAAACAGTTAGTGAGCACCTCCCATGTTCAAGACAATATGCGAGGTCCTAGGATACAGAGAAGAGACACGCCCAATCCTTGCCTTTAAGAATTTGCCGCTCTCAGCAGGAACGACACCATATGTGATATAAACATTCAGAGCAAAGCCAGCTTACTACCAGGTGTGCAATCAGAGAGAGCTTCGAGAAAGAGCAGTGCTGAAATGCACTGGTGATAGCCACGCCCAGGCGGGAGGTGCGGAGGGTGGCTAAGGTATGGCTGAGAGAGCAGAAAGGGATGAGCAACTTACTGTGCAGAACAGAGGCAAACGCAAGGGGCAGGATGGAAACAGACCACAGTGGACAGTGTGAAAGGTCATCCTGGAAGGGCGAATGCAGCCAGACTGTGTGATGTCTAGTAAGCCAGGCTACGACGGTTTTGTTGCTGCTCGTCTGTCTGTTTTTCCTGCATGTTTTAGAAAAAGGGATCCAAGAAAGGTTTTTGAGGTGGGAAATGCCATGATCAGAGACGGAAGCTGAGACATTTTCCTGGAAGACCGTGTGTGAATGGTGGCGCCTACTCCCCCTGCACCCGCCCCCCCCGGTGAAGGAGGAGGAGCGCAAGGTGTGCTCGCAGCCTGGGGTCCAGCAGTCCTTTCACCTGTCCTGCAGGCCCAGTCTGCCTCCCAGACGCTGCCTGCTGCCTGTCTCCCACCTCCCTCCTTTCCTCACTGTTAGGGGTTCATCTTTATTACCAGTTCTTGAGCTGTGACTTGAGGTTCTCTTAATGACAGTTAATTTTGTTTCTCACACAAGAGCTTCAGAATCGCCAGGGGATGGCAAGCTGGGGAGACAGGCAGGAGGGGCTACCAAGGGGTGCTGGAGATGGTCATTATCTTGACTGTGGTGACGGTTTTACGGTGTGTGCATATGTCAAATATTAGTGCATTGTGTATTTTAAATAGGTGCAATTTACTGTACAACAATTATATTTTAGTAAAGCTGTTTAAGAAAGGAAGAATCACCTGTAGAGCTTTATATAACATAGTGTTTCTGATTATGTAGATTCAGGGGCAAGGCTTGAGATTTTGCTTTGTTTTTGTTTTTGTTTTTGTTTTTGAGACAGGGTCTTGATCTATTGCCCAGGCTGGAGCACAGTGGTGTGATCACAGCTCACTGCAGCCTCAAACTCCTGGGCTCAAGTCATCCTCCTGCCCCAGCCTCCCAATGTGCTAGGATTGCAGGTGTGAGCCACCACGCCCAGCTAAGATTTTGCATTTCTAACATACTTTGAGAAGCACTGCTCTATACCAACCTCATATAAACCAATTCCTTTCCACTTTGCATGGTTTCCAGATTTTCCTGTCAAGATTCTTGAAGGGATCTTAGGGACATGCTGACCTTACCCATCACCCGTTATTTCTCTCTGGTCAGCACAGTTTCTGCCTTCTGCCAGTCTAACAAAATTGCTCCTTCAAGGATCATAGATGATAATGATCATCAGTGTTTATATAGCACTTACGTGCCAGCTTTGTTCTAAATACTTTTCATGTATTTTAACTCTGAATCCTCATAACAAGCCAATGACATAGATGCTATTGTAATCTCCACTCTGGCTCCAGAGTCATGTTCTCAACTGCTCCTTGTCCTGGCTGCAGTATCAGCGGTCTCTGTTTCCTTGGCCACTGAGAATGGAGAAAAGAGCGGCCCCTACCATACAGAAGCTGGATTTGTTATTTTCTTAATAGAAATAAACAGCCTCGCAGAACACCAGCCTCAGGTGGGGCTACCCCGAGACTATGGTAAAATGAGTCAAGCAAGGCCAGTTCATCATACAGACTAAGAACAGACAGAAGAAAGGTCACTGTGGCACCCACAAAAGCCTGTCTCCCAGGCAAAATGAGTGACTGCTACTCCTTTGCCAATTACAATCTTACCCTCTTTCTAGTTCTTTCTCCCTACACATAAGATTTATTTAGCTACCCGATCATAGAATCATCCCATTCTGCCAGTGCACAATTCTGAGTGAGCCCCTGCTTCCGTAGATTTCCCCCAAAGCACCCAACCAAAGCCCATATCCTCTAATAGTTTCATCATCATCTTCCTAGACACCCTGTATTCCCGGTGGTGTGAGCCTTTCCTTCCTGCAACAAGTAATAACTTGTTCACCGTGTTCTGCGCCACATATAACCTCTCGCTTCTCGAAATTCTCTTGTTCCTTGGCCTCTAGACACCATTCTCTCCTGATACTCCTCCTGTTCTGTTTCAACTTCGAGGATCTCCACCTCCCGGTATTCATGATCTGTGTAATCCCTTCCCCATAAGTGTGGGTGGGACCTAGTGTCTTGCTTCAAAGAACAGAGTACGCCCAAAACAACATGCCTAGCCTTGCTGGATTTCTAACCTACAGAAATTGTAAGGAGGTAAATTTTTGTGAAGTCCCTAAATCTTGGAATCATTTGTTATGCAGCCATAGGTAATGATTACAGACCTCCATAATGGAAAGGTGAATTTTTCCATAGCATAGACCTACTTGTGTCATTGGTATAGACTCTTTCATGGCTGACCACTGCCTCGAGGGCAAAGGCTCATGATCTGATCTGAGCTGGACAGATCCTTTGCTTTAGCCACAATAAACTGCCCATCCGTTCCAGAACATACCAGTTGCAATCCATGACTTTGATTATGCCGCTGACTTTCCCCAATGTGAAGTCTTCTTAAGAGTTCCTGCATTGGGATTGATTGTTCTTCCCCGGGGGTTCCAAAGCCCAGAAAAACAGTTAGAAATGGAGGCAGGAAAGGTAGAAAAAGCACACAGAAATGAGAAAGAAAAGTGAATGTAACAACACAAGAGATGGCAGCTAGAAGAATGATAGCAAAAATTCACTGGCTCCAAAGAGAAGGGACTGTGCACTGCAGCAAAATGTGCACTTGCCCACAAAGGGGAGGGTGGGAGACATCCTTGTGAGAGAACAGGTCTGATCCTTGGGTTGGAGCTACAGCTGCAGCTGGGGGGAGTGACAGTGGAAGCCTTAGGTGAAAGAATGCTGTTGCTATTTTCGCCCAATCAACATAAGCAGCCCGAGGCATAGGCAGATGCCTAGGGCCCTGCTCCCGAGTGGGTGTCCATCATGCGATAGCCTCTGGGTACATTTACAAATATTATTTTTAGATGTCATTTTTGGCTCTCAGAACTTTTGGCTATCAGAGTTGCTTTACTCTCCACCCTTAAATTAGATTTCTTCCCTGTGGAATGTCAGGGGTTCTCCGATGAAACCAGATCAACTCAACTCAAAACTGCTATTAAATCTTCTTTTCAGAATGTTGTTTTCATTTTTCCTGCAAGGGGTGGCCATTTGGTCTAAAGGAGTGAATAAGGGGGGAAAAAAACCTTTGCTAAAGGCAGCAGAGATGGGAAATATTTAACAGTATGCAAATTGAGCAGCGGCTGCTCTACTGAAAGTGAAGGGACTGGGCCTGTTATATTCTTACAAAAAGGAAATGTATTAAAACACAGTCATTAACTGGGGAAGTGTCCTAGAGTTGGCAGTTAGCTACTGGGATCTGGGGAGGAGTTTCTCCGGGGGGTATAACAAACTTGTACATCCTCATGGGGCAAGAAGAGAGGAGGACTTGGAGTGGTAGTGCATGGATTTTAGCAGAAAGGAGAGACAGGAAAAGAAAAGGCTTCTTCTCCCGCATTATTACAGCGAAGGTGGGAAAGGTTCCCTGGGGCAGAGACAGGTAGGAGTTGTTAACAGCAGTTCTGCCGGGCTAGCCAGGGGCCATGTGTTACTCATTCACCCTGCAAGAGTGTTGACTCCCCTGGCAAATTTTTAAAAGCGCACTCTCATCTCTATTTAGGACTGTGAGTAGTTAGAGAGATAATCCATTGAAAGAGAATAAGATTTCTTCCTTATTACATCCATGCATCTTGCTGTCACTGAACCACAGATTTTTAGGACCCTGAAGAGGCCTTCGCACTGATAATGTTTCTTTCTTTGATTGTCTAAGGTCATGAAGAGGCTTTTTAATATGAAAAGCATGCTAATATCTTATGTGGCTTATGAATTTCTCAAACTAATATATGTTAACACAGAGTTGCCATTTTAACTTTTATTTATATTGCTTGCCTGTTGCCTGCCTGCCTTTCCCTCTCTCTCTCCTCCTTTGCATTTCCTCCTCTGCAGTCTAGAAACCCAGGCAGGAATGAGGCTGTGCCTGCTCTCAAGGAGCAACTGCCCAGCGGAGACGCCAGCACCGGCAGCCCCGAGATGTTCACGGCGGCGACATGCTCCTGTGCATCAGCGGAGAGCAAGTCAGTCTCCCCTCCAGCTGCCTCGTGCCTCTGCCCACACGGAGCTCCACCGCCCTGAGTCCACCTCCCTCCACCCTCAGGCTGCCTTGGTCACCATCAGAAGTCCAAGCCTCCATATCACTATCATTGGCTGGGTTGTTCTGAATCTCACTAATCTAACCTCAACCTCCACCCTCCCCATCCTCCCAAATCATTCCAAAAGGTCCCTTTGAAATTCATTATCATCAACAAAGTCCCAGCATGTCTTCAATCTCTCGCCTAAATATTACATTCCTTTTATTTATTTATTTTTTTTTGCTCTAACTCAGGAGCTGACAAACATTTTCTGTCAAGTGCCAGATAATAAATATTTTAGGCATTACAGACCACATAGTCTCTGTGGCAATTGCCTAACTTTGCCATTATAGTGCAAAAGCACCCATAGAAAAATATGTGAACAAATGAGTGTGGCTGTGTTCCAATAAAACTTTATTGACAAAATCTGGAGGGCAGACCAGACTTGGCCCAGGGGTGATAACTTCCCGATCCTGCTCTAAGGGAAACCTAGATACCCCTCTGTGGAGGTGGCTTCCTGCCGTATTCAGGTGAAGGTTGTTTTTCCCTCTTAAAACCTTCCTAGATCAGAGCTATCAATTACCAATCTCTCTTTTACATCCTCTTGTTCTTTGATGAATTGAACACTTAAGTCACTTCACTTTCAACCCTGCCATCATTCTTGGAGACTTCAGAATTTAATAAATGGTCCATCCAACACCCTGGTCCTTCAGTTCCTTAATCTTTTAGGAGCAATAATCTCTTATTCTGCCTCCCTTCAGCCGCCTATTCACAACGCCGTACCCTAGACCTCGTCATCACCAAGTACATCCCCAGTATTGTGAGTGCAAACATCTCTCCTCCAGCACATCCAGTAACCCCACCCCCAAGTCCCCTGAATTTCACAGGCCTCCAGTGCCCCGGCCATCCCTCTCCGTACGCACTATGTCCCCCATGTCCTCACTACAATCCAGCTCCATAACCACTTCCCAGAAAACATGCAGTGCTCTTTTGTCCCTCTGCCTCCTCATCACACCCCAGCCCCAGCGAAGCCCATATATCACCTAAATCTGTACCTGCTGCAGAGCAATTCAGAGCAGTGGAAAAGACTCACATGGCCACACTGACTTGACTTGCTGTGGAAAAACACAGCAGTGAACAAAACAGACCAAAATCCCCTTCCTGGTGGAGCTATCATTCTAGTGAGAGAAAAAAAGACAATAAGCAAAAGAAATAATTAAAATATTTAGTAAGTTAAAGGACAACAATGGCTAAGGAGAAAAAAATAAAGGAAGGAAGTTATGAAGGGAGAGGAGGATGTGAAATTTTAGATAAGGTGGCCAGGGAAGGCCTGCTGGTAAGATAGCTTTTGGATGAAAACCAGAAGTGAGCGAGGGCAAGACTATGTGTGTTTTTGGAAGAACATCCCATGCTGAGGGAACACAATAACACAAAGGCCTTGTGGTGGGTGTGTGCCCCGCTCAGAAGCGATGCAACAGAGAGGCCTGTGGGGCACAGGGAGAGTGGGGGAAAAGGGAAGAGTAGAAGGAGATGTGGCCAGAGGACACCCATGTATTTCCCTAGTTTCCTTAGCACGGGGTCCTCTGCTCAGGCTTCAGGCTGCAATTGAGGTGTTGGGTGGGCTGCAGTCTCATCTGGAGGCTCAACGAGGGAGGGATCCTTGTCCAAGCTCATTCAGGTTGCTTGCAGAATTCACTTCCTTGCAGCTGTAGGACTGAGAACTCTAGCACTGTTTTGCTGAGAGTCAGCCAGAGGCCAACTTCAGCTTCTAGAGGCTGCAGAAAATTCCCTGCCACATGGTCCACTCCATGGGCAGATCACAATGTGACAACTTGCTTTTTAAGGCTAGTAGGAGAGTAAGAGTGAGTCTTTTAGCAAGAGAATGTGATGTAAACACAGGAGTGATGTCCATCATGTTGCTGTATTCTGTGGTCAGAAGGCATCACAGATCCCACCCATGCCCAAGGGAGGACAGAGGCAGGGACACCAGGAGGGAGGATCTTGAGGCCTCCTTAGGGTCTGTCTGCTGCAGAACTCAAGTCACATAAGGATATAGATGCCTTTGAAGGACTTAGACTTTTTCTCTGAGACCGGCGGTCATTGGAAGGTTTGAACTGAAGAATGATGTGCTGTGAGAGAACAGACTCTGGGGGGCCAAGGACAGAAGCAGGTAGCAAAATTAGGAGAGTATTGCAATAGTCCAGGTGTAAGTGGATGGGGTAAGTTTGGAGTGGTGTCCATGTGGAAGAAGAGGCCATGTTCTGGGTGTGTTTTTAAGGCAGAGCCGACATAATTTGCTAACAGGTCCAATGTAGAATGAGAGTAAAAGAGAGGAGTCAAGGGTTATTTCAGGTTTTTGACCTGAGCAACTGGAAGGGTAGAGTTGCATTAACTATGACAGAAAATATTGAGGGAAAGCAAGTTTGAGGAATAGTCTCGGGGCTCTATTTTGGATGTGTTTGAGCTGCCAGCCATTTAATGGCAGGTCAATTACACTGCACACACTCAGCCCTGGAAGGAGGAGTGATGTATCCTTATTGGAACTGCCATCTATGCCAGACTTGGGTTTGCATATTCCACACCTGCAGCACATCTGCAGGCATTATTGTCTGAGTACTAACAGAGTGTGTCACTCACAGGCGTCGGATCCTGAATAACACTGTTTTGCATCAAAGGGCCTGTTTTATGGCAAGGGAAGTATGTCAGTAGATACATGACCATGGGATACAGTGGGTCTCCCTATATATCCCATTATGTGGAAGCAGTAAGAATGTTGGGATGACTTAGCAAAAGTTCCAAAAAGGCATGAGCTCAGATACACTGTCCTCCAGGATGGAGTCTATGCATGGAGCTACTGGCTATACAGAAGGCGGTGTCTCTGATAGTTCAATGTCATGGATCTAAGAGTTGGTCCTTTCACCAACACTCCCAGTGACTCACCCATCCTGCAACTCTAAGCTCCAAGGAACTGAAAATTCTGGTTCTCAGAAGAAGATTGCTTTGACCTGGGCACAGTAAAGTGTCCATGGAAGCTAAAGCAAGTCTGCATCCTGTTCAATCTGGTGTCTTCAAAATGGGATACTAGCAGGCAAGGAAAGGAGTTCCTACACGAGCAGGGGTAATCAATTCTGAGTATCATGAAGAGATACTTACTGTTGTTGCTTCAATGTGACCAGAGGAAGCACACCTGGAACTCATGGAATTATGGGGGACATCTCATAAGTGCTCCAGGACTGATGAGTATGTGACAGAGTGGACCCAATGTGGACAAGAGTAGATCTGAGATATGCAAGTCATTAACCAGCAGACATGGTGGTGCCCATGTCACACCCCACCACGCACCTCTGATTTCAGCAGCAACTGTGGTGGATAGTTCTTGTGTTTGCTACAGTGTCTGGCCTCCAGTGCCTCTGCTTCCCTGATTCTCTACCCCACAACTTTCTCTGAATCTGCACTAGCACACTCAGCTGAGGACATGTAGTTGGAAAGATCAAGGGATTTAGTGTATTCAGGAGCAACCCAAGGGCAACAGGTGGTAGGACCTGATAGAGAATGACCAGCCTCCTATCTTTTGAAGGGATGATTTTCTGCGTAGGTCCTAAAAGATCACTTTCTGCACGGATTCTCAGGGTCACTTTCTGCATGAGTCTTCAGGGGTTTTGCAGGGGAACTGTGCCTCAGGCGCCCAGAGCAGCAACTGGCCCAATAACGCACACTCTATTGGCTTTTACTCCTTTCATTCCTCACATTTTCCCTCCTCAACTTCTGCTTCTCAGGATCACCACCCAGATCCAGCTTAGGCCCGAGTTCCCTGGGCCAGTGGTGTGTGACACGCTGGCAGTGCTGCCCAGCTGACCCCAGGGGAGGGACCTGTGCCATGTGGGTCTGTACTAGTGGAGGAGCCTGAAGTCTCTGAGTCTGCAGGACGGGTCAGGGTGGTCTCCAGGGGCAAGCCTAGGCTTCTGTTGACAACAGAGCCCAGGGATCTGACCCTCTCTAAATTCCAGTCTCTTCCTTATCACTAAGAAGCTCCCTTTTCACAGATAGTCATTTAAAATTATAGCTTGTTGTTTTTGGTATGCAGTTCAGTAGAAATCTGTATTGGTTAGAGAGAGTTTAAGACTTCTTCCTGACCAGAATTGAAATTGTAACCCCAACTTTCCTAGTCCTACTCAGGATAGGCTGTTATTCGTAAGCTTTATCTTTAAATCACTTCTGACTTGAATTTGATGTAAATAAGACACTGAGTATTCATGCATTGGCTTATTGCTGTCATGAAGTTCCTGTTTCATTTACATGATTTCCTCTAAGAATGGACATCTCCTCAAAGACAGGAAGTAAGGTTGTGTAAATATATCTTTGATATGCAGTTAGGTGTTTAATACTATATATATATATAATATTTAGATATATATATTTCTGCTACTGGTGAAATTGTTTCTTTACTGGAGGATGGGCACTCCTTCCTCTGTCCATTCAGTTAGGACTATGGATAAGTGTATCATGCATGGAAAAGAAATGTTTTAAAATTATACGCATCCTTTCTTATCTAAATCAGTTCAGAACTATCATTTTGACAAATGTCTTAAAGTCTTAACAGACCTAATTTCCCAGAGGTCAAAACGTGGCAGGAAGAGGAATGAGATGGAGGACATTTGGGTAATGGCTTGCCAGGCTCGAGTGGGAAAGTAGAGTGCGTCATATACAACGTGACACGGAGGCGCCCATCTCGCCATCCTTCATCCCAGCTCAGATATCATAAAAAGTGGCAGCTTTTATCAGCCCTCTAATGGATTGTTAGTAGTCCAGGCAAGAAAGTCTCGTTTGTTCTTCCTTTCAAAGAGTACGTGTCTTTTCTTTCTACCTAACTGTGCTCCACAGTAAGAAGGAAACTGGTTTATAGAGCAGTGTGTCCCTAGATCAAAATGAAATTAATAAAGATTCAGAGGATTTTCTCCGGGGCCTTCCAACAGCCTCTCCAGCTAAGCTACTCCTGATAACTGACAGGGACCACAGGACTTGATCAGGGTCCTCTGCTCTAGCTTATGCTTTTCATCTCGTGTCTTGGCGACGTCCTGCCGGGCTGCTGGACGTCAGAAGGGAGAGCAACACCAGGCTTCATATCCAAACAATCCTTTTGTCCACTTAGGAGCACAGGTTATCTGAATTAAGGGTTTCACACAGCTATTAGAAATGTATTTTCATTATCATGCAACACAATTGGGGTAATTAAAAGCCAACTATTAAAAGTACTGTTTCAAATTCTTCCCCCCTAATTTAATGGCACATATTTATTATTTAGCAGCCATATATAGAAAACAAATATTAGGATCATTTATCTATCAGTAGAAGAATGTGCTAGTGGGATTTTCTTAGCTTTGGCTGCTACTCACATTTATAAACAACAAAAATTAAGGCAATGAAAAAAGGCACTTTTTTTTAGTGTAAATATCAGAGCGAACTGATGACTTGAGTTTCTCTGACTGAGCAACCGAGGAGAATCTTATGTGAAATGAAGGGCTCTTACTGATTAGGTCCCATTTGCCCCAGACAGAAGGTCTCACCCTGGAAGTGACAAGACAGAATGCTCCAGTGTCACCGGTGTTCCTCCTCCAGCAGGTGTGGGCCTCGCCTCTCTGAGATGGCAGATCAAATTACAAAATTTGTCTTTACTCTTATTCATTGTCAAGACAACATTTTTACTAGGCACTAGACAGATCTCCTCTCTCCCTAAACCACACTCAGATATCTTCATTCTCCCTTTTCCAAACATTTAAACAATTGTTCTCCCTTGCATCCTTTCCACACTTAATTGCTATTTTGTATTATTTAACTGTTCATGCATTTGTGTCTCATTTCTTTTTCCAACTTGTAAGCTCTTGAGAAACCACATCTTATCTACTGATCCCAGGCCTGGGAAAAGAGCAAAAACTCAATGGTAGATGTTTGAATGGGTAAATGAATAAGGAAAGGATGAATACATGAGACCAAGAAATGGCATGGCATCTTTGTGAGGTGATTTGGCCAGTTTGAGACCATTTCTTCTCAGTCAAGTCACCTTGAAAATGACTCAGAGGACTTTGTGAGTTGAGGCCATTGGCAGTTAGGAAGATGCCACCCAGGAGATGGCTTATTGCCCTGTTATGGTATTAAAGAGAACTGCATTCACTGGGCACAGTGGTTCACTCCTGTAGTCCCAGTGACTTGGAAGGCTGAGTTGGGAAGATCATTTGAGGCCAGGAGTTTGAGACCAGCCTGAGCAACATAGTGAGATTTCATCTCTATAAAAAAATAAATTAGCCGGATGTGGTGGTACATGCCTGTAGTCCTAGCTGCTCAGGAGTCTGAGGCAAGAGGATCACTTGAGCCCAGGATTTTGAGGCTGCAGTGAGCTATGATCATGACATTGCACTCCTGCTGGGGCAACAGAACAAAACCCTGTCTCCAAAAGAAAAAACAGTAAGAAAAACTTACCTTGAATAACAGCACTTTGCTATGTTACTCCTATTTCAGTACAGTCTTACCTAGCCTTGGCCATTCACATTCATTCTTGCTCAGGGATCCGTATACTACAGCCCACAGGCCAAATCTGGCTACAGTCTGTTTTTGTATGGCATGTGAGCTAAGAACAACTGGTATATTTTCAAATTGTTTTTAAGAAAATCCAACATATGATATTTTGTGATACAGAAAATTCAAACTTATGTGTCTGTAAATAAAGTTTTATTGGAACACAGCCATGGTTATCTGTTTATATATTGTCTATGGCAGCTTTCATACCATAATGCAGAGTTCGTAATTGCAACAGAGGCCATATGGCCCAAAAAGCCATAAATATTTACTATCTGGCACTTCAGAAGTTTGACAACTCCTCCTGTATTCTGTTACTTTTTTTTCTTTGAGACAGGGTCTTCCTCTGTTGCCCAGGCTAGAGTGCAGTGGCATCATCACAGGTCACTGCAACCTCAAACTCCTGAGCTCAAGTGATCTTCCCACCTCAATATCCTATGTAGCTGGCATGGTGGGTGCACCACCATGCCCGGCTAAGTTTTCTATTTTTTTGTACAGATGGGGTCTTGCTATGTTGCTCAGGCTGGCCTCAACCTCCTGGCCTCAAGTGATTCTCCTGCCTCAGCCTTCCAGAGTGCTACGATTACAGACGTGGCACACTGCACCCAGCTCTGTTACCTTTTTTTCATGCAGATATGCAGATAATCCTATCTACCCCCCCCCCCCGTTTGCCAGCACCTAGTGTTAGTTACCTGTAAGCCTGAGCTCAGCTCCTAACACTCTGTGAAGCTTTTGTTCACACTGTAAGTCCTTTTCTTAATGCCAATAAACCCATTCACAAAGAGATGGACTGTAACTTGGGACTTGGGGTAACCAGCCTTTATCATGGCCCCAGAACACTAGTGTTGGCATTTGGGA